GTCACATGATGCAACCCGAGAGGAGCTTCGTACTATTGATCTGTTTAGCATTGACATTGATGATCCACCACATGTCACTGATCCACCACTTGCTGCTGATCCACCACATGTGGCTGATCCAGCACCTATCGTTGATCCTCTGCCTGCAAATCATCAAGACCCCCCTCCATCGAGACCTTATCGTAATAAGAAGTCCACAAAGCTTCTTGAATTTGTCTATTCCTCTTACTCACCAGCTTTTGCCTCTTTTATTGCTAATGTACATCGTCTCTTTGAGCCAACATCCTATAAAGAGGCCATTTCTGATCCCCTTTGGCAGATCGCTATGGCTGAGGAACTTGCAGCTCTTTATCAGACTCATACATGGGATCTGGTTCCGCTTCCACCTGGAAAACACACGATTGGTTGTCGTTGGGTTTATAAAATCAAAACAAAGTCTGATGGATCCGTTGAGCGTTATAAAGCCAGACTTGTTGCGAAAGGGTACGCGCAAAAGTATGGTATGGATTATGAGGAGACGTTTGCTCCTGTTGCAAAAATGACGACTGTTCGCACCTTGATTGCAGTTTCTTCCATTCGCCAATGGAAGATTTATCAAATGGATGTCAAGAATGCTTTCTTGAATGGTGATCTTCATGAATAAGTATACATGTCTCCTCCCCCTGGTATTGCTCACCGACCAGGTGAAGTTTGTCGACTTCGGAAGGCTCTATATGGCCTCAAACAAGCCCCTCGTGCTTGGGTTGAGAAATTTTCTACGGTGATTACTTCTCTTGGTTTTCAACCAAGTAACCATGATTCGGCTCTATTTATTCGATGTATGAATGCAGGTCGGATTATTCTTTCCTTATATGTCGATGACATGATTATTACTGGTGATGATCATGATGGTATAGAGTCTTTAAAGCGATATTTGGCTCACCGTTTTGCTATTAAAGACTTGGGATTACTTTGTTATTTCTTGGGGATTGAAGTTGCTCAATCTCCAAAGGGTTATCTTTTATCTCAAATGAAGTATATTTCAGATTTGTTTGAACGTGCACGACTCACGGATAATCGAACAGTTGATACGTCTATAGAGATTAATTCAAAGTACTCTCCAACTGATGGTGTCCCATTATCAGATCCAAGTCTTTATCGTACCATTGTTGGGAGTTTGGTTTACCTGACTGTCACTAGACCGGATATTTCTCATGCAGTTCATGTGGTTAGCCAGTTTGTCACTGCTCCTACTACTGTTCATTGGGGAGTTGTTCTTCGTATTTTGAGATATTTACGTGGTACTCAGTTCCGCACTCTTATGTTTCCTTCTTCATCCTCTCTTGAGTTGCGTGCCTATAGTGATGCAAATTGGGATAGTGATATTTATGATCGTAAGTCCACTACTGGGTATTGTGTTTTTCTTGGAGATTCATTGATATCATGGAAAAGCAAGAAACAAGATGTTGTTTCTCGATCTTCTACAGAATCTGAGTATCGAGCCATGGCTATCGCCACTTGTGAGATTGTTTGGTTGAGATGGCTTCTTGCAGATATGGGCGTTCACATCTCTCAGCCTACCCCTTTGTATTATGATAACGAGAGTGCGATAATGATTGCCAAGAATTCAGTGTTTCATGAGCGCACAAAGCACATTGAGATTGACTGTCATTTCACACGTCATCATCTCCAGAAGGGCACTATCTCCCTTCCTTATGTTCCTTCCTCTTTGCAGATTGCTGATATTCTTACGAAGTCGTTGACTGCTCCTCGATTCCATTTTCTGTCTGACAAACTCTCAATGCTTATTGCTGTTGTATTGTGAGTTTGAAGGGGGATGTTAGCCTAATAAGATTTTGGGCTTTATTTTGTATTGGGTTTTATGATTGGGCCTTTTCGCTAGGAAACCCTAATTAGCTTGTCTATATATTATGTCTTTCTTTTTCATTGTATTTGTACTTCTCTTTGATAATAATATGAAACCCTAGCCGTTATATGTATTTCACTTGTTAGTTTACAGGTTTCATATGATAATTTCAATCCAATTAAGGTCACACAAACTAATTCTCCACATGATTCAATCAATCCCACAAAACACAATAACACCAAAAGTTTCATATGATGTACTCATTTCCATAAAAGCTTTAAATTACAAAGGTGATCAAATTCAAGACACTGCCTTACATTTTACACTAACATTCATATGATAAGATTAGTAACTACTTTTCTATACTAGAGTAACTTTAATTTAAGATCCATAAACTTAAATCATCATTCCATCAAGTTAGGGTTCATCAATCCCCAAATTCACCATCAATGGTGAAATCACATTTAACCTTTCTATTGTCGATTTTCGTACTTGACCACCATGTGACATACGAAACTAGTTTTATTTTTATTTTGCTAGATTAACCTTATCAACAATATTTCTTAGAAATATGGTTTACAAGTGATTAATTAATTTAGGTCTTGATCAACAACAAGATTTTTCATAAATTATCAAAATATTATAGTTTTCCATAGTTAGTCAAAACATATATCTATTTGTTATTAAATAATATTTTTTTATTTCAAAGTTAGATAAATTTAATTGTTTTTTTTCTCAATTATTTTATTATGTTATTTAGTTATTTTAACAAAACATAAATTTAACACTAAAATAATGATGTTTCATAATAGGCGTTTATATTCCAAATTCTGACATAATCTTAACTTGATAAACCAAATACAACTGCCATATTTATGATAAGATATAACCCTAAAAAGACTCATTAGCAAAAATTAAATCCAAAAAAATAAAACTAGAGTTGTACAAAAAGACTAGCTTTGGACCGGATCTGTAAAAGTCTGAGACCAAACGGTCTAAAATGAGACCAGATCGAAAATTATGCTCCTAAAAAAGACCGGTCCAAAACCTTTTGGAACCGGTCCGAAAAAAGACCGGACCGACCTGAGATCAGTCCTAAAAAAACGTATCGTTCTAAGACCGGTCTCTCAAAAAAGACTGGTAACTAAAGTTTAAAAACATATCATTTTTTGTGTAAACTACACAATTTTTAATCATAGATTATCTAACTTATCTTTTTTAATCTCCAGAAAAAATCCCAAAATTTTAAGAAAAATTAATGATTAAGTCCCAAAATATTTTTTTGAATAGAAAACCCAAGAAATAGGCTAATTTATTCACTTTATCCGTCATTTAACCTTTTCATTAGGTAATCTGCCTACGCGGCACACCAAACTAGTAGAGATGTTGATGAGGCATGACATGTCAGCCCAATTCATTATAGCTTTAAATATCAACCGTTTATGGTGAAAAGAAAAGGATAAGGTTCGAACTTGGGACCTATCTCCCCCAAAACACGACCTTAGGCAATTAGACTAGCACACGTTCTTGAATGTTTTTATATGTTAAGAATGTTTTATACGTATATAATCACTTTTATACGATTTTATATGTTTAGAAAATGAAAATACATATAATTTAGAAAAACTTTTTAAAACGTTTCAAAGTTATAAATACATTTTTATATGTATTAATTATTTATACGAATTTTTTACAAACATATATATATATATATATATATATATATATATATATATAGTGTAAATACGCATTTAAGAAGTATTTATACATGTGTTTATTTAATAATACGACTAAAAAATAATTTAACAAACAGAATGTGACATCTTGAAATTTAGGTCATAGACTGTGAACGATTATTTACAGTAAATCTCTTTGTAATTTGGCTCATTGAGTTTTAATGTATCTAATGTAAAATAAATGGGTTCATTTCAAATATTATAAGATATCAGATGATATCTTACTTCCAAACGTGTAAACTATCAAATAAATCAAACTGTTCAAACTGCAACACTAGTTAATGCGTCTGAAAAACTGAAAATTCGTTTTAAGTAGTTATAAGAGAAGCAAACATTCAAACCTTATAGTACATGTTCCCCTGTTTCCGAAAATATAAAGAACGTCTAAAACGAAGTTCGCATGCAAAAGATACGTCAGTTTTAAGAAAACAAACAGTAAAACACTGACTTTCTTTAATCACATAAAACCGAATCGATCCGTTGAGGCACTTACACACCTCCGATGGAAATTCCGAGAGCGTTTTTGGACTCAGGCTATGGTCTAATATTTAATTTCATACTCAAAATATTTTTAAAAAAATATATTCGCAAAAGTCGAAAAATCGTGCGTTACGAGCCAATTAGACGCGAAACTTTAAATTTGGTTTTCCAGAGTTCCGTAACTCGAAAAATTAATCCATTCAGGTTTTTGGAATCCTTGAACACGGCTCTATCTAACAAAACTTTCAAAAAAAATCGTGACGCCGGGATCTCGATACACCAAAAATATGATGGTTTTGGACAATTAAAGAGAGTGTGACCTCATTGTGGGGCCCACATGAGATGCAAGGAGCTCAAAATCAGATCTTTTTGGTCCTTTTCCCGTCCCTCCCACGTCTTCTTCCTATACCCTCCCTCTCTTAGTTACACTCTTGATCAAGAAGGTACAAGCATGGTTGTTTGAAGTCTTTGACTAGCTAATCAAGCATGGGGCTTGCATGCGATTACAAGCTTCCATGGCTATAAAAAAGACAATTACTCTCCTTATTTGAACACACCAAGATCAGCCAACAACAAGCTCTCACTCTCTCCAGGGCCGGTCCTAGACAATTTGAGGCCCGGGGCAAAACAAAAAAAATGGGCCCCTTTGGAAACAACGGTTGAAAAATAAAAACACTGTTGATAGTACATTGCTATAAAAATAACCCATTTTAAATACGAAAAATGTTATTAAAAGATATAGGTAAAGTAAGACGCTAATTTGAGAAACAAACAAAAGGACATTGCTATATTTTGTGTTTTCTCCTTTATTGGGCTAAATGGAAAAATAGCGATTTACTTTAAAGTTTGTGTCTATCATAGCAACAAAGTTTCATTTTAATAACTATTTTAAGTAATGCATTTTAAAAAAATTAATACACAGACTTACAGATGTGGTCCCTGTAAATTAAAATATATATATATATATCATAAAAGGTCCAAGAGATACATGGATCAAATTTGTTAATAACAAGGGTAAATATGTCTTAAAGCCAATAAAAGGTCCTTATTATACTTATAATAAAGAACATCTCCAGTATTGAAAATTGCCAACAGGGTAAATCCGTCTTAAAACCAATAAGAGGTTTAGATTGTAAAAGAAAAATATGCATTCAAATTCCATACCATTTTTGAACAACAACAACACACAATATGATCTCAACCTCATCTGTGTATCAACCAACAGTAAAAGCATAACGGTCCAGAAATATCTTCATGTCTTATCAATCCATAGCCAATCTTTATATAAACTAATTTAGTTTTATAACTGTAAAAAAAGAAAATGTATAGCTATCAGTCCCAATATTCTTGTTCATTTAAAACTGTCCATCCTTTTCTTGTACATCAACATAATTAGTTTACTTTAAAAAATTATGCATATATCATCTTTCAGTTTAATTAGATTGTTCAGTAATAGAAGGCTAACAACAAAAAGATACCAAACATACTAAAGAAAAGTATAAAATTGAAACTAAAAGATAAGAAATTGCAATGAAGAAAAGAAATCATCTCCAAAGAATTGGAGAAGACTGACTTACAATTCAAAATCAGAAGGTAGTGATTCATAATCGGATTCAGAAGGTATATACTCGGATATTCTGATTCTACACAGAATAAAATAATGAAGTTAAAAAAGATATATTTTACTAAAAAAACGAATTGATCAAATAATCAGAAATTTCAAGAATGCAAGAAAGTATAACTTACAGATATTCACAATGAGAAGGTCGGATACTCTCATACACATAGTCTACTCTCGATTTCGTCTTATTTTCAAGAAAAAGAAACTGGAAATCGAAAATAAGAAGAGCTAGAATCAAGATTTACATTCAAATTCACTTGTGTTGTTTCAGTAAAATTTAACTGAAAATCGAAAATAAGAAGGGCAAGAATCGGTTTCAGTTTTCTGGAATCGTGAGAAAGAGAAACAGTCAGACTCGATTCACTGGCTGTCGTTCCTAAGGGATCGGTGGTTATTATGGAGAAACTCAGAAAATCCGAAATATAAGAAAATCAAATGGAGAAGAAACACTTGAAATCTGGAATAAGAAATTAGAAATAGAAGAAATCGATTACCGTTGTTTCTTGAATGAGGAGAAACGTCGTTTGGATTTTCCATAGAAATCTGAAGAGTTATTGCGCATTGGAAGTAGGAAGCAATCGCAAGCCTCGTCAGTATCACTTTCTCCCGCTTTCTTTTTGGATCGGCTATAATAAGAGTATTGGGCTTTAAGAACAGGTCCAACATACTTAAAACTATTGGGCTATTACCATATAAACACTTTAACAAATATAAAATGGGGGCCCTATGGCATTTGGAGGCCCTGGGCGGTCGCCCAGCTTGCCCAGGCCCATAGGCCGGCCCTGACTCTCCCCTCTCCACACTTCCTCTTTCTTAAGTTAGAAAAATGCCACCAACATCACCACCTTATTCCACCACCATAAACCACCTTCTTACACCCTCATTTGATCGGAAATCACACCCAAACACCACCTCCTTCCAGCCCCACACCTTCCTTCTCCCCTCCCACCGACTCTAGCTGCAAAAAAAAAAAAAAAAAAAAAAAAAAAAAAAAAAAAAAAAAAACGCAACAGGAGGCAGCGGAGTCACCCTCCTGCCACCACCATCGAGCAACCCCCGCCATCACCCTTGGCCACCCTGTGCTGCTGCTGCTGCTACTGCACCGTAAGTACACCACCACCTCCTCCGTTATATTTCATTGTTGTTTTAGTGTTTCGTCGATCGCAGAAAGCCCAGCCGGAGACCTGTTTTTGCTCGATGTGCATGAAAACGAAACATGAGGAGGGCTTCGGCTTCCTCCAGTTCAAACTTAGTTTCCAAATAAATTCAATTTACCCCATTTCAAAATTTATTACAAAACAAGTCCTAGGCCTTTAAACTTCCAATTAAAAAGTTCAAGACCTACCCTCCCTTCAAAAATATGTGCAAACAGGCCCCAAACTCTTCAAACTTCAATTAAGAAAGTTTAAAACTCACCCCACTTGAAAATCCCTTACAAAACAGGACCAAGTCATCAAATTTCCAATCATTTAATTAAATTATACCCCTCCCTTGAGATTTATTTGCAAAATAAACCCTAAACTCAAATTTAAAATTTAAATAAATCATTTTGTCCCATTATTGGAAATTATTAACTAATTTAGTCCCATTTAATTTATATCAATTGGTAAATGGGCTCTATACTTTGGTTAAATTACCAAACAACCCTCCACATATTAATTTATATTAAAATTTCCTAGGAAACTAAATTAATCTCGGAGGATCGTGTTCAAAGCAACACATCTCGGTTCCTCGCGTCAAATACGCGAAACGACCTGACAACCACACTTTAATGTGAGTGTTACGACCCCTCTTTTATATTTTTACATGCTTTGGGGGAGAATACATGTGCAATATGATATAGGTTCATACATAATACACATAAAATATTATTATTTTATGCAAATACTATACTAGTTATAAAACAATAGTTTGATTATTATAGGTCATAAACTAGTTTCCAACATCAATATTTTCATATGTCATGTTGTTAGAATAATATAACTATTAAAATAACATATGTCTTGTTACTACAAAATTTTATACAAGAAACATACTTAGTTATAAAAGCTAGTGCCTTATACTATACATGAATACCAATTATGATTAGCTTTTATAAACTCTATACAAATTCTATATGCCTAATAACTTATCCACTTATAAGTTAGGGTTGAGAGCTTCTCACCTACCTACGGCTGAGAGCTTTTCACCTACCTTAGTTAAGGGCTTTTTAGTGAGACTATATTCATTAGCTAAGTCTAAACACTTAGCATACTCATACTACTATAATCATTAATCTTCGAAGCGAGATACATATGTATAGATCTATACGGAGTTGACAGCCTCATCTGCGGTTGCTAGCTACAACCTCGACCGATCAATCGAAACAAGTGATAAGTGTCTACTATCATTACTACGATGTATAATGAAGTGACATAGGGGGTACATACAGTCACATAGCGAGGTTATAGGACTCACTATAAACATTAACTAAAAACTCTCTCTCTCTCTTACTACAAACCATAGACTTGGTTGTTTTCAAATCTACTTTAAGTATAGATTTACTTATGCAAAGATACATTTTGGTATTCAAAGCTTATTTACAAACAATATTTTGAGTATGGTTACACTTACAAAGAAAATACTTTTTAGACTTTTTAAAAGTATCATACTGCTGTTAGCAAAAAACTTGTGACTCTCACCAACCTTGTGTTGACTCTCAAACTACATGTATTCTCAGGGAATTAATAATTTCAAGCATCCAGACAATGAAAAATCATGGATTGCAGGCAATTTAATTTACTAGTTTTTTTTTATGTTAGCCTATCTGTTATGGCAATTCATGTATTACTACTATCTGTAAGAACTTTATATTCAAACTTAAAGATGGAATACAAAATGTTGTTTTGTTTATTGTTGTAGTTGAACTATATATTCAGTTTATAAGTGATCCATGAACTTAGTCGCACAGTCCTGCATGTTATGCCGCCTCGGCCGGGGGACAAACAATATTTAAATCTTTGGCATTTTATACATTAAATAAAAGGGTGAAAGAAGAATTACCCAAAAGCCTTTTAAACCAAGTGGTAAATCCCCATGGTTAAGGAGAAAGAGGGTGTAGGTTCAATCCCTCCGCCATCTCTTTCCTCCCTTAAAAACCATTGTTTACAAGGCTAAAAAACACTAATAGACATTATATATAAGTGTTAGGGATAAAAAAAACAAGAAGATGTTCTAGCCTAATTGGTTATGGTCGTGGTTTGGGAGAGAGACGTCTTGAGGGTAATGAATTTGGCTGATGTGGCATGCCATATTGTAACGCCCGTGTTTTGGGGCTAAGCATTAGTAGACGATGTAATAGTCTAGGTCAACTATTGTAACTCTTTTTGGAAGTAATAAAGATAAAATATCTGAGTATTATGTGAATTATGTGCTTATATATTTGTTTATAAAGAAATAATAAAAATAAACGTCAAAATTTAAGTTTTGAATAAACTCGATATCGATACATGAAGTGATAGTGGTCGTGACAGGGATTCCGTACATATAAAGAACGCCGAAATCCGAGTTATAACGAAGGAGTTATGACCTGTCGAAGTTTCGCGACAGAACCGGCACGACACCGGGAGACGTAAATAGTGAATTTACGATAGAGCAACTTTTAGCCTTAGCGATCTAAACGAAAGTCGTAGAAAACGTTAAACTGAGAGCGTGCATAAAAAGAACGCCCAAATCTGACTTCGTATGAGAATGTTATGATTTTTCGAAGTTTCAACTTAGCAGTGTACAACCCGAAGTTCGAATATTAGATCGAGCGATTTTTAGCCGACACAACCTAAACGATAATCGAAGATCTCGTTAATAGTAGTGTAACGATAAAAAGACAGACGGAAACGGACATCGGATGAAGAAGTTATGAATTTTTAACGGACCAATCCTGTCCCGGCCTGTTAAAAAATATAACTTTTAAAATAAATTCAAAATTAGCCGACGAAGTCTAAACGAAAGTTGTAGAGTACGATCCCGCCCACACGTGGATATAAAGAATGTCGAAAATGGAGCTCGTATGCGAAAGATACGAATTTTTGAAGTCGGAGTGTGAAATTGCGAAGGCTGTGCGAGGGGTACGCCGATCGTAGGACTTCGGACGCCCAGCGTTCTCCCTACGCCTCGCGTACGAAGCTCGGAACGCGCCGCGTATAGCTATCTTCTGCGAACCAAAATGAGCCACGCACCACCATCCGAAGTATGACGTGTGTCGTTCTTATCCGAGACTACGCCCAGCGTAGACCGAAGCTGGGGTCTATAAAAGGCAGCGAGGGCTGCCGAGATTCTTGCACCAAAATCTCTCATCTCTCTCACTACTTTATCTCTCTAGCCTATCCTAACCCCCCCCCCCTAAACCCTAGGGAACCCCCTAGCACCCGAAGGAAGCCCCGAGGCTCCCGAAGCCCCGAGAAAAAGAGTCTTTCGGCTCGGGAACGCTGCTCCAAGCGAAGCCCGGTTTTCGAGAAAACCCGCTGTAAGTGAGTTACGCCTACGCTATTTTTAATATAGTTTTTAATTAATTATAGTAACGTTATTAGGACCTTATAATAATTAGTTGGACTATTATTATTATTATTATGAGTTATATAAGTGTCGTTATAATATCTTTTTAACTACTCGCGGTACGAGGAATCTGGTTTAAAGGGCCGCATAGGGTTGTTGGATTTCAGAAGTGCTATATGCCAAAATGGTCATGCCCTCTGGTGTTTTATGTCTGGCCCCTGTCTGTACATAGTGGTTGGAAAATATTTTTTAAACGCTTATATGATGATAATAATAATAATAATAATAATAATAATAATAATAATAATAATAATAATAATAATAATAATAATAATAATAATAATAATAAGACTAATAATTAGTCACGGTAAATATTAGACTAAAATCTAGTGGTAATAATACTAGGTTTCGTCGAAGGAAATTATTTTTAAGAAGCAAAGCGTTGTCTGAGTTCAGGTGAGTGCATAGCCACTTTCATCTTACACATAGATATGAAGTATTTAATATAAACTACGTGCTATGTGTGCATATTGTCTGAATACTTGTTGTCTATGCTGATGAAAGATTTTTATACATGTTTTAAATGATTTAAACTGTATATGTATTTTATATCTACAAAATGTTGGGGTAAAAATGGGTAGATGTAATAGACGATGTGTGATAAAATGATGAGAGGCATCGATGTTGTTGTTGTTGATTCTGTCATCTAGCGGAGTATGGATGACGACCACAGACTCTTCTAGACAGTCTAGTGGAACACTAGCAGGCTCGCAACCTGTAGGTGTTTGTGAACGATGTGTTCACCGGTGTACTCCATCCCCCTCATGGTTGCCTTAATGACATTTATTGCTGAGGAATCCCCTTAGCAGTAGTGTCCATCCCGATGATGATCCTTAGGCTAGGTCCCTTATGATAGGTGTTTAGGGACGTAAAGTGAGGATAACGGGAGCAGGTAATCGGGTTATTGTTGGTTGATGAAATTAAATAACTTATTTATTGTGGGTTGAAAACCCTATGTGCTCACCAAGCTCCCAAGCCTGACCCACTCAGTTTCATGTATTACAGGTAGTGGCGCTCGAGCATAGATGTGATGTTTTGGATGAGGGATTACGGATATAGGCCTGTAGATATGAATAAATGTAGTAAGACTTATATTATACTGTTTATGCTTTTGATCTGTATCGAACATGACATCCCGATGTTTTTTAATGAAATACATTTCTACAGAAATGCTTTGATAAATCTTTATCATATTTTATTTTGGGAACAAATTTCGCAACACTTATATTTAAAATGTTACTTTGATTTTTAAACAAAGCATAAACAAAATCGGTCTTTTCTAGCCGTGAAAATGGGGATGTCATACATATCAGCCGGCAAGTCAACATCTCTTCCAACTTGGAATACCACATTAGCGATTACCTGCTGAAAATGTCAAAAAGGGTTCGTTAATTTTCCCAAAAATTTTTTGGGATTTTTCTGAGATTTCCTTTTTTCTTTTATTAAACTTTAGTATATCATTTTTAATAAATCTTTTTTTTGAACGGTCATGTATATTACAAAGTAGATAGAAGCTAACCATAGGGAACAAAAACAATTAGTTTATGAGTGGATTTTGCGACCACCCGTTTAAAGAATTAAAGTTTTCCTAACCTAATGCAAAGCCAATTAAACGATAATGAAACAATAGAATCAAACATCAACTCCTTCTTGTACTTCACGTTCCCAAAAACAAGTGCATTATTGTACATCCAAAGAACCCAAATCAAAGTAGCACAAGTCGCCTCAATAATCGATCTCCGAGCATTTGCTACCACTTGATCATCAATCCACTCAAATAAATCTTCAATGGAATCAAATATATGCACCATCACTACCCATCTCGCAAACTTTAGCCAAAGTTGCCTAGCCAACGAACACTTCAAAAACAAATGAACAACATCTTCTTGCACCTCCCTACAACAAAAAGAGAGGAAAATTCAATTCCTCTATAATCAAGATTACATCTCGTCGGCATATGATTAAGAATAAGTCTCAAAGTAAAAATATTGATTTTTATAGGAAGGGACTTATTCCACCTAGTAGCAACACCGCTACTAGGAAGAGATAAGAGATCCAAATGAGATCTAGCAACCTTCACAGAAAACGTGTCATCCATCCTGATAACCCACCTCTACGAGTCTCGTCCATCCGTAACCTGAATTGAATCCAACAACTCCATTAATTGTTGGAGTTGCAACTCCAAAACTCGCCCACCTATCGATCTCCTCCACGGAATCTCCCATCTATTACCAGACCAACAGACGCATCTCTATTGACAGAAAAACTTGAAACTGAAAAATATCGAAACCAAACCGAAAAAATGCACATGGAAAGACCGCGAGACCAGACCGAAAAGACCGAGACCGGACTGAAAAAAGACAGGACGGTTTGGAGACCGCCCCAAAAAGACCGTATATCGTTTCGAGAGCGACCGAAGACCGGTCCGTAACGGCTAATGAGCAGCTCTAAAAAAAACTATAAGTCACCCCAAAACTTCCAAAATATCCTACTTCAAAATCATGGTCGGCCCGGAGGTCCGATCCAGCGGTCTTCTTAGTTGGTCTGATCCTTTTGTCTCTTTTGGTGCTTGCTCAAATTGGCTCAAATAGCTTGATATGGGCATATCAAATAGTTCATGTATATTATTAACTCTATCAAATCATAAACAAATAAAATTTTAGGTGTTATTTTGTTTTGACTTATTAGGAAGAATGACCTGATAAAAAAATCAATAAACAATAAGATATGGCTATTTGACTAATCAAATAATTAGTCATATAGTTAAACTCCATTAAATCATAATTAAACGAACAACATGGTAGTGTTGGACTTAATGCATGCCATCCTAAGTCAAATTGTGAGGTTTCGTTATTATCTGGATGTATCGTCCTCATTCCCAGGAAAAACAAAAATAAAAAAAATCACGAGGTTTTACAAAATGATCGTTTAAAATTTAAAAAAATTTAAAAAAATGGCAATATACATCTATATATAGTTGCACATTTAAGCAACCAATGCAAAAAGATACTACAAGTTGCAAATCCGTTTACACGAAGAATATGACTTTTGAATCTTTGATGTATTTGTCAAAAGCTTTCGGACGCCGATGGATTCTAGATTGTCTTTTAGACTTAAAACTCAAATACAAATTTGACTTTTTATAGCTTTATGGTCTATACTCCATACTTCAAGTGACATTATGCTTATTGACTTCTATTTACGGGTATGATTTAAAAGTCATACAAAGTATTTTATTATGCCAAATTATTAAATTAAAAGAGCTTGGGTCATTATTTTTTTTTAACGTATAAACATATTTAATATATTAATAGTTAATGTGGTAAATTTTCAAAATAATAGTAACACAAATGTTATCAGAACTTTGGCCATCTATTGCTCCATAAAGGATTTTGATGTATTTATTAACTGTCATCATTTATATAGTTAAATAAGTGAAATTTGAGTTGGGTGTTTTCTAATATAAGGTTTAATATTGATTCAGCTTTGTAAAATTAGGGTAAATTTCAAGAGTGTTCAACTTAGAACATTGGTCGCAAGTTGGTTTAACGTAATTTTAACTATTATTTGCCAAAATGAGGTTGAAATCATTTCATTAACTCTAGTTTGCAAGCAAACCCTATTTGAAATATGTTATTATATATCATATTTCAAATGATACATTAAGTAACTCTTTTATGTACAACGATTTGTTTAGATAAATCATAATAAAATAATTATAAGATATATGTGAAGTCTAAGATTTTCTTTTCAAAAGAATTCTTATGAAAAGCCTGAGACTTCAACACATAAGATGGTGTTGTACTTATATGAGATACACTAATAATTGTTTTATTAATTAGATATTATGTAGGAAGCCAATATAGCAATTGATGAAATAGTTACTACAAAGTACAAACAAGAATTTAGCAAATAGATTAGAGAAAATTTAGGTTTCGTGTCTCCTTTGCTATCACGAACCCGAAGGCTTGATTTTTTTCGCGAGCTCAGACAGTAAAACAGTATTTTCTTCACGGAGTTGGATTGCTTTCTTCCACAGTTCTGCGTTTTCTTTCAAGATGTTCATGTTCTCCATATACAACTTCAAGTTTTTGAACTCCATCTCCTGTTTCATCTTTTCATTGATGCGTCTGTTCATTACAACAAAAATAAATTTGTTTAAATAACCTTATAGAGAAAAAGAGGAAACATTTTGTATACAGAGGAGAAAGTGATTCATGTACCTGTTAAACCTATGAAGTCGAACTTGTATGTGTTTTCGAAGACGATTTGACTTCATTTTCCGGATAGGGGAACTAGGAAGAGGCGATGAGACACATTTTGAGTTATATGTGCACATTTAGAGGTTGTGTTAGTTTCCCTTTTAGGGATGAATACTAAAATGAATGCCTAAGTTGTTGGTTCCTGCCTCCTTTATAAATAGGACAACTACGTATTTTTCATTATTAATTCAAGAAAATAGCTAGAGTAATAGAATTTATTATTACAACATATCTCTATCAAACAACTATTTAATTTTTTTTTTTTTTGGAACGGCAAATACAATAATATACTAAACTACTCCTAATTATTCCACCTATGTCCACAGTGGGACTTGAACCCTCGACCTCAAGAAGGGAGGGCAACACCAGATACCGCTGGGCTAGAAACCCTTTGGTAAACAACTATTTAATATATTAAAAAATTTAGTATGTGTAATGATTAGATGCGAATCCAGACCTTGGTAATTATGGTGTTTGCATTTATTTCAAAACTGGAGACATTATTTTAACCATGTGTGTAGTGGGCCAGTATACATATGTGTAATAAAATCAAAAGTATTATTACGTTTTAGGTCTTTTAACAAAAGAGTTTCATTATCTATGGGTGGGTGTAAATGAGCCGAACTATTCGTAAACTATTCGCGATCGACTCGTTAAAAGCTTTACTCGAGCTTGAGTTATACAAGCGGGAGCCGAATTTGAGTTTAGTTTTAGGCTCATTTATTAAACGAGTTTGAGCCCGAACTTTATCTGTCGAGCTCGATTAGGCTCGCAAGCCTAAACAAGCCAATGCATATTTATATAATATAATTTTTAATTTCAATTTGATACATTAATTACTGGGCTTAAAAACAAAAATAAGCTTATTTTTTTACTGCCGATCTTAGGCTCATTTAGGCACGACATACAAACGAGTTGAGCCCGAGCCAAGCTCGAGCATTTTAATTCATCCACGAATCGAGCTTGAGCTTTGAAAATTAAGCTCCAATCGAATCGAGCTCGAGCTCAAGCCCCATGAATTTTAAACGAGCCGAGCCCGAGCCTACCCGAGCTCGAGCTACACTCGGCTCGTTTACATCCCTACATTGAACATAATTTATGTTCGTCAACCAATTTTTAATAGCTTTAAGGCTTTTAAATCTGGATTTTATTTGAAAGTATTTTATGTTTTGTAAGATTATGTTTATAAGATTTGATCGAGATCAAAAGATCTACAAAAATAAACCTATATTTGATTTTTCTCATAGAGCCTTAGATGTGGAGTATGTTCGATTTCCAGTTAAATAGACAAATTTTTGAGTGTCAACTATATAATAAAGCTAAATAGGTGGGATTTGTTCGTGTTAAGAGATTAACATCCTAGTCGGAAGCTTAAGATCTTAATATTCATATTGCTTCAAATAAATCATAATGTGATCATAATTGTTTTTCGCTTGTAAAATCTTAAAATCATAGGATCTTAAGATTAAAATCGAGATCGGAGCAATCATGCCTCTTATGATTTTTTTATCTTTTAGTTATTTTTAAAATCCAAACTAACAAAATAAAGTTTGAAAATATAGGTTTAATCTTTTTTTTTCCGATAAAATACATGGCCTAAAAAATTAAACGAAAAAAAATGAAGTGAGTTTTGTTATAATCCGGTGCATGTGCGTCCATTGTAAAAGTCTACAACCCTTCCTTTTGCCGTTGATCGCTTTAAATTCTGACGCTTTAGATTGGTTCATTGGTTCCTTGATTAATAATAATTATCTATTGAACTTATATATATATATATATATATATATATATAGATATATATATATATATATATAGTCTGGTTCCGGTGAAGACTAAAAAAACGATGAGGACTACGAGGACTAACCTTGACCAATCGAGTTCATTAGGGGTATTTAGGTCCAATAACAAAATAAATGGGTTGCTAATGCTCGGCGGGCAATTTTATATGAGAAAAACATGGGCCTGATATTATTTCGACGACGTCATGTAAACTTCTTTTTGCTTGTCACTGTCTTCTCCGATCATCACGCAAATAGGAAGAACACCGACGAAATCCAGATTCTTTTTACTAAAATCTTCAATATTCGATTCAATTCATACGGAATCAGTTTAGATTCGGATCAAAAACTTATATTTTACTATTAATCATGAATTTATGTTTCGAAAAACATAAAATTTGCTTCGATTATCAATAAACTTAGAAGAAAACTGAAGCAAATTGAAATTTGCTTCAATTATCAATAAAATTGAAAAAAACTATGCAATTTCAATTCAAATAATGCAAAATTAGGTTAGATTCGAACTAAAAAATGAAACTTTATTGTCGATTGTCATGATCTGTATCAAATCATGATAAATCAATTACTATTTTAATGAAATCATTTAAGAAATTGATAGGTTTAACTCTAATTTATGATAAAAAAAACTTTGATTTAAATCTATATTCATTGTTATTCAAATACATTACGATTGAAAAAACATGATTTATAACAAAATTTGTTCATATACGTCTCTATTTTAGGATTAGGGTAAAAAATCGATTTTTTATTCATAAAAAACTTTAAATCATCAAAAATAGTGTATGAAAAACATTTGTTTTCAATTTTTTATCGATATAATGTTGATTGACATCGAAATTGACTAATACTAGATGCTAATAAAAAATCAATAATGTGATATATTAGAAACATGTTAATATCAGTTTCAATGTTAATATTTAGGTCAAAAACATGTTATAATTGTTGATTTTATAACAGAAACATCAATTACGGATCAACATCCAATGATTATAGAATCTACAATGCATAGTACTGATGTAGAAAGTGCAAACAAGAACACAACAAATTCATAAAGTAATGATCAAGGTAACTTTATTATTAAAAATATTTTTTTGGTACATCATATATTATGATACAATGTTTTTTTTAAGAGAAAACAATGGTTCTATGACAGCAAATATTGGATCTTCATCAGGAAAGGTTGCATCTTCATCATCTTCTAAACGTGATCTAATAGTGAGTATAATTGATGGAAAAACTTACTAGACTCCAAATGTAGATATCAGACCTTATAAGGGACAAACTTTTCCAACATTTGAAGATGATTTAGCATTTTATAAAGAATATGCTAGGAAAAGTGGTTTTGAAAAAAGAATAGCATCTACAAAGACAATAAAAGGAGTACACGGTTATGGAAGAAGATACATAGTATGCAATAGGCAATGATCCAAAAAGAAAGTTGCATATGATACTCTAAAAGATCCAAACAACAAAAAACGTAGCCGACCTTCTATTAGAGTAAACTGCGAAGCATATGTGAGAATGAAGGTCAATAATGATAAAGTATCGCAAATATATAAGCTTAAAGAATAACATACACATATATTTGTGCATGAAGAAGATAAAAGTTTTCTAAATTCTCGAAAGAAGACTCACATTTTCACAAAAGAAAATGATATATGATATGTCAAATGTGAACATGGGACCGAGTACTGCATATAAATCCATGAAATAGTCCGGCGGTGGTTTTGAGAATATTGGAGCTACAGGAACAGATACAAAAAAATTCAAAAGGGATTAAATTGAATTTATTGGAGAAAGAGATGCAGATTTTGTGATAAACAAGTTGATGAATAAAATAGATTATTTTCAAGATTTTTCGTTTGACTTTAGGGTGCGTTTGGTACGCAGAAAATGAATTGAAGCAAGAAGTGAAATATAAAGAAAGAGAATTAAGGTGGAGAAAGAGAAACGATTACATTGTTTGGTACAACTGAGAATTCACCGGAGAGACTTACCCGATAATCAATTCTCTTGTTTTGTTTTACTAAACAGTGGAATGGAAATAATTTTTTTAATCATGTTTATCGTTTTCAATCAACATTGTTTTAGGACATTTTCATTATGATTGAAATATTAATTTGTCACATTAAGCATTTTTATATTTCTAATTTTTCATTTGCTCAATTATATTTTACCAAATACTTTTTTATAATTGTGGATTAAACCTACAAACATGTTAATGGTCGTCGAACTATATAGAAGCAATATTTCACCATCAGGGAACTCCAAATTTAACTTCTGTCGTCCAAAAGAAACTCCAAGTTTGACTTTTAAATGTCAAATAGGTAATTTTAAGTTCAAAAGAAATGTTCTACAAGACTTATTTCACCATGAAAACTGCACTACTGCAGGTGTGTAATTTGAAAAATAAGAAACTCCTTGCTTCACTATCATCTTCTTCACAGAAATCGATCAAATCATAAGCACTCAAAACACATTATAAGTCACAAAAACTAATGAATTAGAACACATGAGAAAGTAAATTGATTATATGGAAAAAAAAGTTACCATAATTGGAGAATTGTGGGTTGCCAAGATCGACAGGTAGAAGAAATCGTTTAAGGGCATAATCACGCAATAAGATCGACGCAAAAGGAAGGAGGAATACCTGGGCCGATGTCCAATCACTAATCAAAGATGAAATCGAAGGCAGAAGGCGACGTCCAGTTGAAATCGAAGGTGGAAGGGGAAAAGAAGATCGACGCGAAAAGAAGAAAAAGAAAAGAAAAGAAAAAAAACATATGTAGGGCTCGAACTGTGGAGAGCCTTCTTTGATTTTCAAATCTCCGCTTTTTTTTCTTTTATGGGGAGGCCTTCACATCTCGATTCTCACATTTTCCCTCTAAATAATAGAGAAATAAACTCATGGAAATGGAATCCATTTTTTCTCTATTCTCTACATTTTAATGCAAAACAAACAAGGGAAGTAGAAACAATTCCATTTCCCTCATCTCATTTCCCTATACCAAACACCCCCTTAGTGTTGAAAGTAATCAAGAATTGACTGAATTGTTTCAGGCTGATGAAGAAGCAAAACGAAACTATATTGTCATTGGAGATGTTGTTGCTTTTGATACAACTTACAGAACAAACAAGTAAGTGTCTATATAATTTACTTATATTTTTGAATTATTGTATTTATAAATATTATATAAGTAAATCATTATTTTTAATTAGAGCAATTATGTATCATTAATTTTTGAATCAATAGTAAAATAATAATTATATTTTTAAATTTCTATAAAAAATAATAAGAATCATATCATTTTTTAATCTAAA